ATAATTTTGACCCATACAATGTATTTTTGGCTATTGCTACAAATATACCCCAGCGACTTAATACTGGTTTTGTGGTCCAGGATCACATTTACAAAATACATTTACATTGGTCAGTGAAAACTTTGGAAATGTTTTCTTTGTACTTTTGTCAATTAAATAAAAGTTAAAGAGAACGAACAAATCACAGATTCTTGATTTTATTGCATTTTTACAAAACGGCCCAACTTTGGGGGAATTGGGGTTGTACAAGTTCAAGTTCCACAGAAGACCACTGTAACAATAACAATGGAAGTGAAGTTTCGATCAAACGTGTCACTGAAATGACCAATCAGAGAATGAGCATCCACATGCATGAACAAGTGACTGAAGCTCTAATGTGATTGTTTCCACATCATCATACCAGTAACCTCTTTAAGCTTAAAGGATTGAGAGGACGTGTCTTCAAAATGTAACACCATCGAAGTGCCATAATTACTCTCAGAGACGAAAGTTCTATAAATACACAAGCACTCCACCATCTGCTGTGAACACAGATGCACATGACGTCAGGGACAGTTTGTTGTGGCTCACGTTTCATTAAGCCTCCTTCACAGGCGCTAACACGGAGCTGAGAATAATGTCTGGAGGGTCTAAGTAAAGAGAATGAGCAGGTTTGTGGATTTCTTTGGACTGTTTCACAAACCAAGAGCGGGTCCAACGGTATGTTAGCCAAACCCCACTGACGCATATGAATTGGGAGAGGCAACAATTTAAGGAAAGCAAACTAGAAGCACATTGTTTTTATGTGCCCAAAGACCAGAGGAAACAACTTCCTGATTAAAAAGGAGGCTCGCCATAAAGCACAAACTAGCTGTTGACTGAGTTAAACCTTTCTTGTTAGGCGACAACACAGGCTGTTTTCACACCTCAGGCAAGTTTATAAGCAGCACACAAATTCGAGAAAAGTATGTGCATAGTATATTACACTAGACTTATAAAAAGTCAATTTTGACACAAATGGATTGTTATTTAAAGGGATAATTCGCTTTAATTTAATTTCTGTGATCCACTTGTATAAAAAAAAAAAGTATACACATTTGCATATCAAAGAGTCATATTTTACTTTTCCATGAGTGTTTTGCTCACTTTCTCTGAGCCTTTCACAGTTCAGTTTTGCTGTTGTGCCTTTAAGAAACAAGCAACAGCGCCTTTTCTCAGGATCTGTTCAATCGCTTTCGGGTTTGTAATGTCAAATTGTTCTTAACGCTCCCATCCTTCAATACTGAATCATCAGGGAAACAGGGAAGAAACTCCAGCCACTAGGATCCTTTGGAATGATATGGAAAGTCGGACACATTACAATGTTTATCCTAAAAGATCAAGGATTATTTGATAGACACATATTATGATATAACCCCATTTAATTACTGGTTCTCAACCAGGGGGTCAGGCCCCGTTAGAGGGCCTATATTAGTCAAGGTTCTCTTCTCAGTCTACATTTCTTGGTAATTATATAGGACAAAACCTTAGTTGGCACATGAAATTATTCTTACTGAAGCTCTCTTATATTGGATATTGAAGAATGTACCTCTGCATAGATTCAGATGTCCCAATTGCATACTATTCAATACCAGTTTATTGTATAAATCTTGTGAGTAGCGTATTCACACTGAAAATTCCAAGTAGTGTACTTCAAATACTAGATGCACATTCCAAAAAACATGTGACCGAAAAAACATGGTGTGGGAAGTTAGACACTTCAATCATAGCTATGCTGGTTGACAAACTAACCTTATAAAATTCACACACTAGACAATAGGGTACATAGTGCACAGTAAAACTGTACAGTAACTATTACGTCATTTGTGGAAAAACTAGAGTCCATCCTCCTATGCCAAGTCAGAAATACAAGCATAAACAAATTCAAACAAACAACAGTCAGAAAAGGCCTATATATATATATATACGCTGTCAATCGATTAAAAAAAAAAAAACTAATTAATCGCATGTGTTTTCTGAAATTAATTGCACCTAACATTAAACTTTAAAAATATATTTTGTAATTGCAATAATTTCACATTTAATCTTCAAATTAATGTAGAAACCACATAAAGACAGTATATTTTTAATATTTGTTTAATGGCATCTTGTTGTATGACTGAAGGAGGCCAGTATCACTGACACCAATACTACTGATTCCTCTATAAAATTATTTTCTTCCTAATATTTAACCATCGACTATAGCCATTCAACAACCAGTGTTATATTCAGCTACCTGTGCCCTTCAGCAAGTAGGAAATATACAGAAATTGAATAAAGTTATCAAACACAAAATTCTTAATTAAATATAGATGAATCCTTAAAGCTATAAAAGTTATTGATTTCCTCTTTTTTCTTTGATGAACAGACATTACAGCAGCTGGGTTAATAGGTTATTTTCGGTGCGGTTTCTTTAAGAGCTGCCGCTGCTGAACATGACAAGGATCTGACAAGCATCATATTTTCTCTCAACTCTCTTTACCTTTTCTGACCCACTTCAGGTCTTAAAGTCTCTATTAATGAGCAGTTGAATCGGGTGTGTAAGATGAGGGAGACAAGTGTTGGGCTGCTCCAGGACAGTTTTGAAATCCATTTCAGAGTTCTTAAAGGGTCATGAAACCCCAGACTACTTTTTCTGAGATTTTAGCAGAGGTGTTTGTGTTGCACATCATAGAAGACAATGTTAGCATCCGATAATTTTAAATGTTGGAGAAAACTGGTTCATTTTAAGCTTTTTTGCGCTATTTTCATCTTCCGGGTTTAAAATCTACATTGTGTTGACGTCACAATTTGTGACGTGGCAACTGACTATAGTACATCGATCGATGACGCGTCGGTGTCTATTAAATTAGTCATGAGACTGCGTGTTCTTACTCTATGAGAAAATGCTTCGCATAATTATTCACATCAGCATGTGCTGATTTGCTATGACAGACGTTTCAGACTGTGAGATGACATTGCGCACATTAACTGAGAGAAACGTTCATGGATCAAAGAAGAGTGTTTGTTTTTGCTTTGTAATAAGTTTGGCACAAACGTGATTCATTCACTTGGTGAGCATAACCGTTTTTACAGCTCTGTGACAACCCGTCAAAAGAGGCTTATAAACGCCACAGAATAAGCCTTAAAAGTTCTCAGAGGTGCAACAGCGCGTTCATATAGTCTTTACAGATCTTCTTTATGCACCAAGAGCTTGTAACACTCCAAAGAGAAAGGAAAAATTGAAATCGCATCATATGACCCCTTTAAATGTGACTCATATATAACATATAGCCCAATACATGCATGCACAGTTTTTAGGCAGCTTTAATCGCCTTCATTACTTAACTGACCACGACATTGCATGCACGTCGTTTCTTTCGCACTTTGATATGAAATGATAAAGGCTTCAGCGCGCTCCGGCGCCTTTGTGCATGCAATTGAAGAGCGCACGCCAGGTAGCCTACAGTACCGTGGCGTTTCCGCACTCGTTTGACTCGCAGGTGCTGAGGTGAAGTGGAGTGCACGTCTGAAACGTCTCCTGTTTGATGTGCTTGTAAAGACGTTCTGAGACTAAATTAGCAAGAAAAAAGTGACAGAAGCAGCAGTCGTGAGTGGGGTGGCCAACACTAGCCCCGCCCCTGCGTTAACGGCGTTAAATATTTTTAACACGTTAAACTAAACTGAAAACATTAATCGCCTGCGTTAACGCGCTAATTTTGACAGCACTAATATATATATATATATATATATATTACACAGTAATCAACATTTGAAGTGGATAAAAACGTTCAAAGTTGTCCTAAGACAAGAACGAGTATTGTTTTGGTTTTAGGACAACTTTGATGATAGGTTTTGATCCATATATTTGTTCAAAATCTAGATCTCAGCTATATCTGCCACAGCATTGTCATATACAGTATAGGTTTCGAAAAGAAGGGTTACATGAGATTATGGCATTAGAGTCACTGATTTTGAGAACTTGTCTCCATTTCCACCGTAAGTTGAGGTCACAGGATCAATTCCCAGATGCTGGCTTTTGATTTAGTCTATAACTCAAAGGGTCCACACCAATGGCTGGATTAAGAAAATGGACAAGCTGAGGCAGGTGATAAAACTCTTTCCTATCAACAAACCTGCAAATCACCCATTTCAGACTGAAACAGTGGACAGAAAGAATAAAACTTGGTGTAACTGGTGTCTCCTGAAATTTGACTTTGCGAACCTTTGGATTGTTGAAAATGCATAGGTTTTGTATATATATCTTTACCAAACTACACTGTTGCCACAAAGTTGTAGTTTGCTTGCTGCAGCAAGGAGAAACTAAAGTCAAAGGATGGTTACGATCAGGCTTGGACATCAATGTGAAACTGAATTCCACTGTTAACATGAACCTGTGATTGCGAAAACCACAATGCTTGAATTGGAGCCAAAGATTCTTTAAGAAATTTGTACATATTGCCAGACAGTGACTAGTTGCGTAACTGAGACTATGGGTGTGTGATTTATGAAACCTTTAAAACATGCACTAACAAACATTGTCTGCACTTACAAATGCGGTTTGTGGGCAGTCAGGGTTCAGGTCACGGTGATAACATACTATGCAATTTACCACATCTACGTCTAGCATTCATACCGTGTTGGGTAGGAAGTGGGAGTTTTTGCCATCTCACCTCCAGACACTGGGGCATCCATGAAAACAGCTCCCAGTTTCTCTGTGGCAACTGCCATTTCCTTGGAGACAGCTGGATCAATGGTGCTGGAATCAATGAGTAGGGATCCCTTCTTCACTTTCCTTTTGTAAAGTAAAGATATCAGTAAACAAGATCTGTCCAGTACATGCGTCATGTCTTTAAAATACTGACTTTAAACATTTCTCACCACAATTAAATCAGCTAAAATTTCATTTAATCTGGATATTGTTATCTAAATTTAAAGTATGGCTGAATATATGTTGGATTTGACTTGGATTTTTTTTTAACCCTCTCAAATTATGTTTGCTAATTAAACTGTTCAAATGTTGTGTTCATTAAAATCTATATAGCCTTTTTAGGAAAGAATTCCTTACTTCAGGATGCCATTTGGGCCTGTATACACGTCTATAACATTGGGGCTGGAGGGAAGCATTGTGATGATTCGATCTGCCTTGTCTGCCACATCCGCAGGGCTGTCCAGAATCTGAGAACAGGGGGGAAAAAAAGAAGTACGTCTAATTCAAGCAATGTGAAAAAATATTTCACTCAAAAAAAAAAAAAAGTACATTTTATGTCCGTTATCCTGACCTGAGCTCCCAGTTCCTGTAGCTCTTTGCAGGACTCTGGAAATACATCTGAGACCATCACTGGATATCCATGTTTTATGAGGTTCTTTGCCATTGGGTTTCCCATGTTCCCCAGGCCAATGAAGCCCACCTGGGTTTTAGAGGCCATGGACCTGATGGAGACTACAAAGAGACATGAATTATATAAATTAGTGTCATATTTAGAATTTCACATCGGATATTTTAGCATTTAACATATGACTGTTACAGATTAAATGAATGAAAATATGACGTGCAAATCCATGTATCATTCGATCATTCGTTTTTTGATTTAATATTGAAAGTAGAAAAATTAGAAAACGACTCCTTTTTCGTTTTTTTCCAAAAAAGGAAAAAACGAAAATTCAACTTAAATGTTCGTTTTTCGTTCATGGGTGGAAAAATGAATAAACAGCTTGAATATTCGATTTCTACACGTGGGCGGGAATTAAATGCCCCTTTCTGCTGATTGGTCAGCCGAAGATCAAACCGTGCCTTCATCAGGGCTGCGTTCAGCCCCGACAAAAACGGTGCAAAACGTTTTTTAAACGGAAATGGTGATGCGTTGAACACCCTGTTCTGATGACGCAAGAGTCGCAACTATGGCAGCTGAGAAGGCCATTCTTTGTGCTCTTTTTGAAGAATTTTCGAAGCTTGATGAAATCGGTATAAATACGTGTTTAATACTGCAAAATACTCTCAATGTTACAGTCACTGCCCTTGCCCTCCAGAATAAAATATTAAATCAAAAAACGAATGATCGAATGATACACGGATTCGTGCAGAGTCTAAGAATAGATCTTGACAAGTCTGTGCATGTTGACCTAGAGGCAGATATGTGCAAATACACTGGATATTAGATTAAAAATGTCATTTTTGTTATCAAACAAAAAGAATCCGTAAAAAGAGCACCACAGAAAGCTGATCAAATTCTTGTTTACTACTTAAGTCTGAATAATGCTTTATCCTTTTACAATTTCAATCTGGTTAGATGAACTTGATTTATCATGATGATATATTAAATCTCACTCATAGATATATCGGAAAAGACTTTGCAACTGCAACAATTTAACAACCGTCCACCATTTAGTTCAATAGCGGCTGAGTATGATCACAATAAGTATAACTTAATTGTTTTCTCGTGTTTCAGTGACTTACACACAATGACTTTGGCCTAACAGCTATTACCGAGAGTTGGCAGTGCATTGCATTATATCAGATGTTTGCCGCACGGAAAAATTGCATATAAGTGCACAGTAGTTGACAAAAACATAACATTTTTAGGATAACGGTGCAAACACATTACCCTGCACGGCGTTGACATGATTATGACACTTTCCTACTAGACACCGCGAGCCCCTTAACAGAGCGGCCATGCTGCTTCGCTCGTGACCTTCGACTTACAGTGACGCCATTGGATAATCGATGACTGACACATGTGCCTCCATACGTTTCATTCACCTCGGAACTCTTCGTCCAATGACATTCAAGGGAAGGCGGGACATCCTTAAAATCTCATAAGAGATCAATGGAAAAACAAAAATAACTTGTAACTGCCCTTATTTAGTCTGCTATTTAATTTAACCCAAACAAACTAGTATTATTTGTATTTAATAAAAGGATTTAATCCTGTTTATGTCTTGTAATTGTATATGCAAACAGAAACATGTGTCTTAATATTTCACTAACGTTAACTTATTCAACCTTAGGTCAAATGTAACTCTTAGGGAACTTAACGTAAGGATATTTTATATGTCTATGGTTGTGGCGGATATGATGTGTGTGATGCGATCATGCGAGTGGTGTTGTTGTTATTGTGTTGTTCCGGGAAACCACTGACACGAAAGAACGGGGGATGTACTTGCGCTGAGAGAGACTGGAAAGTGCGTCAAAAACAGCGCTGGGTTTTTCTGTGATACTTCAGCATAGAAATGAGGTATTGTGCCGTATTTTTATTCACTTTTATTGTCTGTTTATATGCGTATTAGTCTTAAATATCTACTATGATTTTATGTTACTGACTTTTAATATAATTTTGAGCTCTGTTGTGGTGAAAGACCAGTTGGTCGAGAACATGATAAGGGTTATTCCTGAACGATCGGCCTCACACTTTGTCTTGACTTAGGATATTAACTGATGCGTTCTTATACAGAAATAAAGACCAGATAAGATGTGGAAATGGGATGATTAAACACTGATCGAATGGCAAAAGCTAATAAGCTGTAATTGTCTTGACATTATGGTTTGTTATTGTTTAGCCAGACGGCTAAGACGAGCTAAAACCTGCTAGCAAGCTAACATCGCTACCACTAGCTTAGCTAATATAGAAAACTTGATGTATATTGGAGTATATTTGGTATAACCATATAATATTTATATACTATGCGGTATGAAATATATTTTTTATTTAACTTTTCCTCGTTACAACATGATTAACACTCGAAGTTGTAATAAGTGCTTGTAACTTCGGCCTATTAGCAAAACATTTATGTCTAAAAAACAAGTATGAAGGAAAATATATATATATTTGACAGTCATTTACACATATAGGCCTAATTAATTATTTTTTTGATGTATTATCTAATGTCACATTTCTGTTTGTGTTGTGCTATTTTTAGAGAGACGACCTTTGGATTTTCAGGTAAAATAGTATCATGGAAGTTATAACTAAATAGCCGCAATAAATGCAGTTTTGTTATTACAGGGTTACATGATCGTGTAAACAAAGCATTTTACAGTTCAAGTCAGTAAGACACGTCGTCTGTGACGTCACTACTCGGTCTCGGTAAAGGTCATTATAATTTTGATTTGAGATAGAGGGGGAGCTATACTGTTTTATGGGCGGTTATCGCAAGTTTTCACTCCTTCGCATGCTAAAATGTACCGTGTGAAAAATCTTTTTATTTTTTTTCGGCAGAGCTCAGCTGTTTCTGAAAGCGTGACGGAGTCTCTGTACTGTCAGGAATTTCCTGCTCTGCCGCTGTACTCACTGCGCTCTTATCATACATAAGATTACGTTATGTTTCTTTAGAAAAAAAAAAGGAAAAATGAGCAGTGTGAATTAATTTGTGACAGCTTAGTGAAGAATAGGTAAAGAAGGTTTTTTTGTACAATGCGTGTTCCTCAAATCATTTGCAATGCTTATTTTCCCCAAGCAAGACAAACTGAAGAAACTGGTCAGGTAAACCAACACACAACTTTAAGGTCTTCGCTGCTGACATATTGTTTAGGCATCACCATGATTACAAAACAAATGACCTTTTCTTATCAAGTGCGGCTTGTGTTCACAACCACACAGAAAAATCTCGACAATCATCAGACTCCGTTTGTTCATTGCTTACTGAGTCATCACCTTATGAGTGTGAGATGTGACATGTTTGAAGTCTGTAAAAAGTACATTAGTACAAAATTGGTACATTCCCCAGAGTTTGATAGTTGTGATTAATAATTTGACCTACCTCAGTTTAACTTAGTTACAATAAATGCAGTTTACTTTAATAAAGTATTATGCTTTGAAGAGTCTTTATTAAAAATTATGGAGGGCTTTAAGGGAGTTGAGAGACAGAGTGGCTGAGTGCTGTTTAATCTAAGATCAAATTGACATGTTTCACCCAGAAATGAAAATTATCATCATTTACTCACTCTCAAGTAGTTCCAAACCGGTATGAGTTTCTTTCTTCTGTTGAACATTAAATAAAATGATGTTTTGAAGAATGTGATTAAGCAAACAGTAGCTGGTCCCCATTGAATTCTATAGTTTGGAAAAAAAACACCATGGAAGTCAGTGGGGACCAGAAACTGTTATATCAAGGATTCTTGAGACACGGGACAAATATATATATGTACAGTATGTGTGTGTGTATGCGTGTGACAGAATGAGGTCTCACAACCATGTTTTTACTCCTGGTCGACAACAAAATATATTTATTAAAACAATTAAAAACCAAGCAGTATCAATGTCAGCTTGATGTTATTATTCACATATTTCACTTGAAAGAGGTTCACCAAGCCCACACAGGCTCTTCTGAGTTTTATAGTTTTTTTAAATATGTAATTTTAGGTAATTGTGCTTAAGGAACCTATTATTAAGCCCATTTGATTTATTTTGAAAGAGATGGTAGGCATAAAATAAATAGGCCTAAATACTTAGAGAAATTACTTGATTTATCTCAAATGCAAATGTTTGTCCCTGATACTTTTTATTCGGAGTCAATCAAATGTGTAGTTCTTAATTAGAATAATCTCTTGCAGCTGTAGAAATCACATCAAAACTTTAATTTGTCAAAATTAATTAATTAATATGAATTAAACTAGTTCATAAATAAGTTGACTTTTCTGGTATTGAAATACAATTTGTATAGAGTCAAATGCAGTAGACAAACAAAAAAAAGTTTATAACCTTAAATATTTTTGATGCCTCTAGAGACAAAAAAAATAATGCCCTGTCTGTAATTATAATCCAGAAATATTGCCTGACTTGAGTCATGTGGGCGTATAAGGAACCATGCCATTTATCTTCAGTCTTCCTATTAATGCCACTAAGCTACTGAACCTCAAACAAACACTTTGATCTTCAATATTTCATGTCCTTGTATTGTCATGTTTTTTTTGTTATTTGTTAAGCAGTCATGCAATAATATAAATAATGTACACTCAGCTTGTCATTAATGCAAAATAAACACAAACTTGTAATTAGAACTCAAAGTGGTGTTTTCACATAGTAAAAAAGTTAATATTACTCAAATTAATATTTTGTGTCAGTTTCCGTATTTATTTGGTAAAAAGTAGGATAATGTTCAGTAGGGCTGGGTGATATGACGATATTATCGCATATCGACGATGTCTCGTAAGTATCACGATGTCGATGTCAACAGTCAGGTAACAGACGATTATCAACATTATCGGAAAAACAATGACAAATGATAAACCTAGTAAGTTGCAACAAATATTTTACATAGCCCCATAGTCACCATACAGGTTTTTTTGCATGCAAGAATGAAATAATTTAGTAGGAGGGTTGGGAATCGAAAAGCTATTCCAATTTCGGAAATCAACGTGCTGTTTTCTGTGCTGCTCAGTGCTCACACACACACACAAAGCGCACACACAAAAGCCGCTTCTTATATACGCGAACACTGGACTGAGCTCTCTTTCTCGCATTCTTACACATTCGAATGGACAAATACACACAGAATTATATCAAAATGTCCCATAAATACAATCAGTTATGTCTTAAGTGAACGTAAAGAGATGAGAAAGAAAACAAGGGTGTATTGGATCCGTGCATTGACAGCAGCCGCTGCCGCCAGTCATTAATGTTAATTTAAAGAACGAAAGAAAAGAAAATCCCTCACTGATCTTGACTGAATCACTTTTGTAACCTCAGTTTATATTTTATTTGCCTGTT